GGGTCGGTTTTTGGACAACACCGCGTCCGAGTCAACAGAGATCCGTCAGCATTGGAGTAGCGCTGACCCCACAATCACAGAATTTAGAAGTCTTCTGCTTATTTTTGACGAGGCTTGTAGGAAACATGAGCATGATTTTTCGGCGCTCCGCGCGGATTTCTTGAGCCGGCGCCTGGGCCTCCCCGGCGGCGCCCCCGGCGCCGCCCCTGGAGCGCTCCGCACGCCGAGGTGCGGCCAGCGCCGATCCAAGACCTCCGCCAAGAGGGGGGTGATGACTAGGGGGGGGGGATATCACGGCGGGAACAACATAAGTAACATAAGCAACAGCTGGTCCTCAAGTACGATGGGAGCAACATAAAACCAGGGGCGCCTCGCGCGCTGCGGCCCCGGCCACGGGGGCGCGAAGGTGGCCGCGCGTCGCGTGTCCTGGGGCGCGGCGCGCGAGGCTGGGCGGCCTGGGAAGGGAAGGGATGCGTGCAGAGAGGCTCCCAACCGCACGAAGTGAAGGAGCGGTGTGTAGATCGGGGGCGGCTACCAGAGCAGATTGTGAGGATGTATCAGGCGGGGCGCTGGTTTCAGCTTCCCCTGAGGGGAGCCGCCAGGCGTTATCTCACGGTCCCGTTCGCGGCCGTTTTGTGGGGATGTCTCAAGCGGTTTGCTTGTTTTCTGTCCCAACATCCTTCGCTTTCGGAGCAGAATTCGAGGATGTCTCGAGCGAGGCGCTCATTTTCACCCCCCTAAGGGGAGCCGCCAAAGGTTACCTCACGGTCCCGTTCGCGGCCGTTTTGTGGGGATGCCTCAAGCGGTTTGCTTGTTTTCTGTCCCAGCATCCTTCGCTTTCGGAGCAGATTTGGAGGATGTCTCGAGCGAGGCGCTCATTTTCACCCCCCAAGGGGAGCCGCCAAAGGTTACCTCACGGTCCCGTTCGCGGCCGTTTTGTGGGGATGCCTCAAGCGGTTTGCTTGTTTTCTGTCCCAACATCCTTCGCTTTCGGAGCAGAATTCGAGGATGTCTCGAGCGAGGCGCTCATTTTCACCCCCTAAGGGGAGCCGCCAAAGGTTACCTCACGGTCCCGTTCGCGGCCGTTTTGTGGGGATGCCTCAAGCGGTTTGCTTGTTTTCTGTCCCAGCATCCTTCGCTTTCGGAGCAGATTTGGAGGATGTCTCGAGCGAGGCGCTCATTGTCACCCCCCAAGGGGAGCCGCCAGGGGTTATCTCACGGTCCCGTTCGCGGCCGTTTTGTGGGGATTTCTCAAGCGGTTTGCTTGCTGTCTGTCCCAACATCCTTCGCTTTCGGAGCAGAATTGGACGATGTTTCGAGCGAGGCGCTCATTTTCACCCCCCTAAGGGGAGCCGCCAAAGGTTACCTCACGGTCCCGTTCGCGGCCGTTTTGTGGGGATGTCTCAAGCGGTTTGCTTGTTTTCTGTCCCAGCATCCTTCGCTTTCGGAGCAGATTTGGAGGATGTCTCGAGCGAGGCGCTCATTTTCACCCCCCAGGTGGGCCAGATTTTGAGGATGTCTCGATCGGTGCCCCAGGTGTCATAAAACTGGTGTCGCTAAACTGGGCCCCTGGCCACCAGTTTACAACAACAGCGGCTCCCGCGTGATACTTCCTCACGATGTATTCCCAAATCGCGCTTTCGCGCAGGGCTTTGTCACAATTTCTGTAGGAGTCGCGCTCTCGCGTGGGCCTTCCTTGCAATTTATTCAGGCGCCGCGCCCTCGATACTCAGGAAGCACGCTCTCGCGTTTTGATGGTTTGATTATTTAATTGGGAATCGCGCTGTCGCTCGAGCTCTCCTCGCGATTCATGCAGGAAGCACGCTTCAGCAACCCGCCTGCCGCTTGTCCCTTCCTTCCATCCGTCCTCTTTTCCCCTGCCTTAGGGGCTGCACGAACTACACGTTGGAGGTAAGAAAGATACACCCATAAGGGGGTATGATCGAAGCCGAAGAGGGCGGACATCAATGGTTTGGAATATACGTGTTGAATGGCACGCGAGCAGGTAGGAGTGAACAGTCCTAAAATGATTGCTGCTGTTGCTGTTGTTGCTGTTGTTGTTGGTGCTGTTGTCGTGATTGTTAGTGTTGTTGTTGCTGCTGCTGCTGCTCCTTTTTTGTTGATGTCGGTGTTGGTGTGTTGCTGAACCCTCATTCCTGAAAAATGATTGTTGATCCCCCCCGCCCGGTGCACATTGTATTTCTTCAATTGAATTGCCCCTCCCGGGGCTCGCACCCTGCTTTTTATCAGAAAAAGTCTTGAGGCTCAAACTGTGTCTTTGGCCCCCGGTTTACAACAACAACGGCTCCCGCCTGATATTTCCCAACAATTTATTGAAGAATCGCGCTCTCGCTTGGGACCTCCTGGCAATTTACCACCGAATCGCGGCTCCCGTCTGATACTTCCTGACAGTGTATTGCAGAATCGCGTTCTCGCTTGGGACTTCCTCGCAACCTACCCCCGAACCGCTTCGCTTGATAGTTCTTTTTAATTTATTTAGATGCTGGTCATCGACACTCAAGAAGCGCGCTCCCGCTACATATTGCCTGGCGGTTCAAGCAGGACTCACGCTTCAACGACCCGCTCGATTCACCCGTCGGGGCGTGCCCGCCCCACCAGCCCGTTAATGACTGCAGTCGCCGCTCGCTGCCTCTCGCCCGCCCTCGATGCCTCTCGCTGCCCGTACTGGTTCCGCGGTCGCCTTCGCTCGCTCCCCTTCGTGGCCCCGTTGCTGCCCTCAGTGGCCCCGTCGTTGCCCTTTTGTGGCCCCGCATTATATGCCCTTCGTGGCCCCCGCTCGCACGCGCCCGTCGTGGCCCCAGACGCATGCCCTTCGTAGGCCCGCTGTCGCCCTTCGTGGCCCCCTCGCTGCCCTTCGTGGCCCCTTTGCTGCCCTCAGTGGCCCCGCTGTCGCCATTTGAGGCCCCGTATACGAATGCCCTTCGTGGCCCCCGCTCGCTCGCGCCCGTCGTGGCCCCATATGCATGCCCTCCGTGGCCCCGCTGTCGCCCTTTGAGGCCCCCTCGCTGCCCTTCGTGGCCACGGTGCTGCCCTCAGCGGCCCCGTCGCTGCCCTCTGTGGCCTCGCGTTCTGTGGAAACTGGGGATGGGGGAAAGGTTCGAACCGAGGGGGGGAGGGAGGGGCTGAAATTCAGAGGGGGGGGATTCGACCCGGGGGGAGGGGGAAGCTCAAGGGGGTGGGATTCGAACCGGAGGGGAGGGGGAGCTCTTCGACCCCAGTGGCGTCCGACTTCGGCGAGCGCCGACGCCGGCGTCGTCGGGCAACGACGACGCCGAGCCTTCGCAGGATGTCGTTAAGGCTGAATCGAGCCTCAGTAGCAATCACGAGCTGGATCCAGCTATAGAAGGGTTCTACTAGAGTTGGATCGCGCCCGGCGAAGCTGCTGCGAATTCTGGATCCAGCCATATTAGGCTAAGATTGGAGCTGTACTGGGCCCGTGTAGGATTCAGTTCGAATCGGATCCAACTGTAGTCGGATTCTATTTGAGCTGGATCGAGCACGACTAGGATGCTTGTAAAGTTAGGTTCAGTTATGGTCGGATTATTTTTGAGCTTGACCGAGTACTAATAGGATTATATCTAATGACCGTCGGCTCATCCCGCCACCGTGCCTGGGTTGTGGGTCAGAGTTATTAGGAATGCTTCTGGGGGTCTCTTCGGTCTCTTCCGAGCGCTCTCGGGGGCCTCTTGGGGGCAGTTTGGGGGCCTCTTGGGAGCCTCTGTGGGGCCTCTTGGGGGCCTCTTGGAGAGCCCTTGGGGTGCCCTGGGGCCCTTCGGGGCCGAGGGCTCGAAATGTCCGTTCGAATCCGCCATGTGGACTGCCTCTTGGAGCCGTCTTTGAGGCCTCTTGGGCCGTCCTGAGCGCCTCTTGGGCCGTCTTGGGGCCCTCTTGGGCCGGCTTAGGGCCTCTTGAAGGCATCTGGAGCCGTCCTGGGGCGATCTTGGGTGCCTCTTGGGCCGTCTTGGAGCGTCGGGAAGCCGAAAAGGCGCGAACACCAAAAACCTTCGAAAATCAAAGGAACGCCAATGATGTTTGGTTCTTGGGGTCCTCTTGAGAGGCCTCTTGGGGGCCTCTTGGGGCGTCTTGGGGCGTCTTGGAAGCTTCTTTGGCCGTCTGGGGGCCATCTTGAGCATCTTGGAGAGATATGTAGGCGTCTCGCGGCCAGCTTGGATCGTCTTGGGGGCCTCTTGGGACCCTCTTGGCTCGTCCTGGGGCCTTCTAGGCCCCAAAAAGTCATACGGGAAGACGCGGAAGCCCCGACACGACGCGGGAAGCCCCGCCAAATTTGGCAATTTTGGGTCCGGGCCCCTCAACAACCCTTAGGATCGAGAATTGAGGCTTAGATGATTCGGGAAAGGACCTGAGGACACGCCCACTCCGTGCCCAGAGGCACGGTGGCGGATTAAGGGGAGGGGGTGGGCCAGTTCGGTTCGAACCCTCCCCTTGCACAGGGAGGGGAGGGGGCCCCGGTTCGACCCTGCCCCCACCTGGTTAAAGAGGTCGGTGTCCGGGGTGGGAGGGCGGTTCTCCGGGTGCTTCCAATGTTTTGGGGTGGGGGGGTCTGGTGCCGACGTGTCCAGGGGCCAGGGATGCTTCCAAGCAGGCGTCCACGAAACGTGCTCTCTGCTGGGGTTTGCATTGGCGCGCTAGCGTTTGGTGATTGTCGTTAAGACGGCGCTGACTTAGCCTAAATTCGCGTCGATTTAGCGTCGATCATCGTCGGTTAGAGTCGACTAGCGTCGGCTAGCGTCGACTCGCCAGAGCCAGCAATGTGGCATGAAAGGATCCCATGAGTTGCCACCGAAGATTCGGGATCACCGCGCGGTTTTGGGACTTGGGTCGTTCGCCCAGGATGTCTTTGGCGACTGGGGCATTCAGGGCCCCACAACCTTGCGGTGACGGACCGCGCGTTGAGGCCTCTTGGGATTTCGAGGTCACCACGCGGTCTGTCACCACACGATTTGGGACCTCCAACTGAGGCGGCCAGGGCCAGGGAGCCGACTCCCCTGGACGCGGAGCTCCGCAACAGCCTAATGGGGACCGTCCTCGGGGACAAGCCGGGCGTCCGGTGGGACGACATCGCGGGCCTGCAGGCCGCAAAGGAGGCCCTGCAGGAGACGGTGATCTTGCCGGCCCGCTTCCCGCAGCTCTTCCAAGGCAAGCGCGAGCCCTGGCACGGCATTCGGCATCGTCCAACCTGTCCCACCGGCCCACCCTTCCTAGGTGGGGATGGGCCCCGCGAGTCCTGAAGGAGCAGGCACATATTCCCACCTAGGTGAGTAAGTCGGCCAGTGGTCAGGAGGGACAAAAAACACACACAGACACAATTAATCGTCGATTCCCAGGAAAATATAGGAAAATATGGGAAGTGGGGGGGAAGACAAAAACCCAGAAAATATTGGAAAATATGAGGATTCCTTTTATTTGTGTGTATCTATTTGTGTGTCCTGGGGCCCCTTCATAGGTGAGTAAGTCGGCCAGTGGGGCCAAGGCCGCGCCAAGTGGGGATAGGGATCGGGTTAAGGATGCTCAGGCATCCTGCTGTACGGCCCCCCCGGCACGGGCAAGTCGCACCTGGCGAAGGCCTGCGCCACCGAGGCCGATGCGACGTTCCTCAGCGTCTCCTCGTCCGACCTCGTCTCCAAGTGGATGGGCGAGAGCGAGAAGCTCGTGCGGGGCATGTTCGAGCTCGCGCGCGAACGGCGGCCCGCCGTGATCTTCGTGGACGAGGCTCCGGGCTGCCCAACAGGGTTCGGAGTAGGCTGGGGTTGGTGGATCGCGCCGCATCGCCGATGCATCGGTGGTGCGGTAGCTCGACGCGGAGCCCGATCTCCTCCACGCCGACGTCTCCGATGCATCGCTGACGTCGCCGATGCATCGGCGAGGCCAGGGGAACAACAAAAACGGCATAAACATCATTTCTCGGTGGCCCGCGCGGATTTCTTGGATCGGCGCTGGCATCCCCTCCCTGGCGTGCGGAGTGCGCTCGGGGCGCCCAAGGCGTCGATTCAAGAAATCCGCGCGGAGCTCCGAGAAACTGCGTGTTGTACCGTTTTGCTGCTAATCTGGATGCGGCGCGATCCTCCGACCCCGTCGGCGTATTCGGACCCCGCTTCGGGCGGCCTCGGGAGGTGGACTCGCTCTGCGGGGCCCGCGGGGAGTCGGGGGAGTCGGACGCGTCGCGGCGCATCAAGACGGAGTTCCTGGCGCAGATGGACGGCGTGGGGAAGAGCAAGACGCAGGTCCTCTGGCGGCAAGCGCCGCGCCCGGCCAAGAAGAGCTCGTGGGCCCGGTGACCACACCGCGTGGGGAGTTTGCCCTTATGGGTCTTTGGTTTTGACCCCCCCTTTTTTTCACTCGGCGGTGAATGACCGGTCCTAAAACTGACCCCCCCCTCCTCCTCCTCCTCCTCCTCCTCCTCCTCCTCCTCCTCCTCCTCCTCCTCCTCATCCTCCTCATCCTCCTCATCCTCCTCATCCCTCCTCTCCCCCTCCTTGTTGCCCTCGTCGCCGTTGTCGTCGTCGCTGTCGCGCGGCGGGTGCCGCGGACACAAAAATATCTAGTTGCCCCCTATTGTTCGGACCCTGGTCCGTGAATGAGGCTGCCAGAAAATAATTGTTTACCCCCCATTGGGGGGAGGGTTCTAACGACCTTGAGAGGTTAGTAGGGATTCGGGGTCACCGCACGGTTTCAGGTTTCGGGTCGATCTCCGAGGACGTCTCGGGCGACTGGGGCCTCCGAGGTCCCAAGCCCGTGCGGTGGCGGACCGCGCGGTGAGGTCTCTGTGCACTGCGAGGCCGCGCGCCGTCAACGAGAACCTCCAACATCGCAACTCAGACCTGCGCAGACGCCCCGTGGCCTCTGCAGCCGGCAGAGCGGAGATCACACGATCCCTGCTGAGCCCAGGCCCGAACAGTGCGTGGCCTCTCAGCCTCATCGGCTCTTCAGGCCGGAGGCCGGGGCGGGGCGGGCGGGCAGGCGTCGGGGCGCACGCATGACGGGGGTCCCCGCTGACGGGGGTCAGCCAATCCCTTCCTCTGGCGGGCCCAGGCCTGGGAGTCACATGGGGCCGGTGCCCCCCTCTGCGCTCTCGTGGTATGTCGGGCGTGTCCCCCTGCAGGGGGATTGTCGACGAGAGATGAAAAGTACCCCAAAAGTGTACCAAAAAGGTCAAAAAATACTTAAACAAATAGTCCCCTGACTATTTTTGGATGATTTGTTTTACCATTTTTGAAATATGTTTGATTTTTCATCGACAATCCCCCTGTAGGGGGACAGGCCCGACTTAACTGTCGTGCCTGGCCCCGGGCGGGGAGCCGCGGCACGGCCGGCCAGGCTCCGCGACAGGGCCGTCTGGGCTCGGGCGCGTGCTGGCCCAGGTCGGTGCGTCCCCGAGGGCGGGGGCGGGGCTGGACGAGGACAGGCAGAGGTCCTGCGGCGGCCGGCGGCGCCCCGCCAAGAGCCGTGTGCACTCCCAGTCTGCGGGGGCGCCCACGATCGGTGGCAGTCGGGGGGGATGCATCGGCCCACAGTCGTCCATGGATCGCCGATGAGAACATGCTCTTCAATCCTCTGGGCCGTAGCGCGCACTGTGCCCCCCCTCCTCCCCCCCCGTGACGCTCCCGCCCCCCCTCCGTAGTGCCTGATGCTCGCTGGCTGCTGTGGGTGCTTGCAGGCTACTTTGACGTTCCCGGCCTAGCATGGCGCTGCCAGGCTCATTATCCGCGCTCGCAGACATGTTGCTGCGGTCGCAGGCTACTGTCGCACATGCAGGGTCCGGCGGTTTTTGCGCACGCGCGCGGGGCACACTCGGTACTCTGGTGCTGGCAGGGTCGCGATGGTTGTGGCAGTGGCATTTGTAGCAGAACTAGTGTGGCAACAGTCGCAGCATTAAACTTGAGATCAGGAGGAGGAGCAGCAGGTGAAGAGTTGGAGGGGGTAATTAACGGGCTGTCCTTGTAATCGTCGTCGTGGTTGTCTTGCGGTCGTGGTGATCGTTGCCGTGCTTGTCGTTATTGTCGTCGTCGTCGTCGTCGTTGAAACTGCCATGGTCCTCGTGTTCATTTCGATCGTAGCGATACTCGTTGGTCGTCGTTGTGACCGTCGTCGTGACGGTCGCAGTCGTCGCAGTACTCGTAGTCGCCGCGACCGTCGTCGTAGTCGTCGTCGTCGTCGTCGTACGTCTGCCTGCTCTCGTGGCGCTTCCGGGAGCCCTCGTTGCCGCGGCCGCGCGCAGCTCGAACACCTTGGCCACGGTTGGCCCCGACTTGATTGCAAAACAAGGATTGCAAACAAAAACCAAGGATTGCAAAAAACCCTTTGCAAAAGGGTTTGTTTGCAATCCTGTTTTTTTTGCGAAAGGTTTTTTTTTGCAATCCTTTTTGCAATCCTTCGGTTTTTTGCAATCCACGGATTTTTTGTCTGATTGGATGCGGGTCGGAGGATCGAGGCTCCAGGCTCGAGGTTCGCCGGCGTGGCGGACGGCGTTGTCTGAGAGGCCTGCGCCATTCCGCCGGGTGGTCGTCGCAAGAGCAGCTAAAATTGTTCACGGGCGCGCCGCGGTGCTCGCGAGCTAATTACTGGGGCACGCAGCTGTTCGCCCGTGTCGCGCGTGCTGTCAGGCACCACTGTTGCCCGCCCATTCGGTCGGGCCAAGGGGCGCTCAGACTCTGCGCAGAACCGATTTCTACAACATAAGTGTAATCAACGCAGGGGTTCTGGTATCTGCAAGCGTTGTGGTGCACCCGCGCGTTATTCTGTGCCCAGGCGCTGCGGTGAACGCGGCTGCTGTGGTGCACGCAGGCGCTGTGGTGTACGCAAGCACTGTGGTGCACGCGTGTAGCACGCATCGGAAACAGGCAGTGCAGTACAGATTTGAGACAAGTTTAGTGGCATGCTTTGGTTATGGAGGCGGTTGAGTCAGAGTACTGCAGCACCCAGAACGTAGATGCAACACAGCGGCAGCAAACACCAGCACCAAATAATGTTCGAAGGAGAGTGTGGATGATGCAAACATTGGTGCTGGACGATGGTGCACGTATGCGCTGTGCAGTGCATAGGCGATGTGGTGCACGTGGCTGCGGCGGTGCATGCTGCACTGCGCACTGTGGTGCTTGCTGTGATGCGCACAGGCGCTGCGGTGCTGCAGCCACACGGCGGGGGGGGCGTTACGTTATGACCCCCCGCCCCCCCCCCATTACGCGCGTTGTGGCTGCGCATCATTAAGCGCGCTCTAGGAGCCCGATAGCCCCACCCCACCCCGCCCAGGACCGTAGGCATTTGCCATCGGGGGCCTATCGACGAGGTGTCGCCGATTCCAGGTCGATGTTGTCTCCCCCCCCCCCCGGTGCCAGTCGCCCCCTGTCGTTGCCCCTCACCAAGAAGGGCTTGAGGGCAAGGCAGTTGTCGTCTGCTCTTGGTGCCAGCCTCGCCTCGGGATGCTGTCGAGCAGCCGTGCCTCTCCGAGGGCTTGCTGAGGGTGCCCTGATCGTTCCGAGCGGCCGCCGGGGGCCGGATTTTCGTTGACCCGAGGGCCACCAGACTTCGAAGATCCGAGCACAGTAACTGACTACCACCACCAAGATCGAGAATAATCTGCGATGCGATTTGGTGCAGTTTTGCTCTGGTGAAAAGCCCGCAGTCCCCCTCCCGCCCTCCCGCATGACCCTGCCCCTAACCCTTTTTGCGGTAAATTACTCTTGCAGGCGGTGGTGGTGTATAAGAATTGGCCTCGCAGAAGAGGGGGTTGAGGACGAGGGTGTGTGCGGATCTCATGTCGGGGAAGCGTAAGGCTCGAGCACGCCAGAATTCGGGTTTGCCGACTTTTTTGCCGAGCGCGTCCTGGAGTTTGACGGTCCTGTTTTCGTGGGCTGCCTGCGGCGGGAGGTCGCGTCGAGTTTCAGAATTAGTTCCGTCATGTTCGGGGTTGATGGGCTCATTTTCCACCACCACTACCATAGGTAGGAGAGGGAGGAGAAGGAGGAGGAGGAGGAGGAGGACCTCCTGATCCTCCCTTCTCCCCCGTCCTACATGTGGCAGCGGTGGTGGAACAGTTGCCCCTCAAGGATGGCCCCGTCAGGCCAGCCCCAGCCCCCCGAGCCCGAGCCTTGCGTCTCCCCGAAGGCCCAGGGGCGCCCTGACCGACCCCTGGCAGCCCAGCCCCTGCCGTGGCGTCCTCGCCTCCGCCTCGCGCCGGGGCGTGCGCGTGTGCGGCCGGCCGGAGAGGAGCTCGATAAAGGGCGAGCCGGAAGCTGGGCGAGGGCTGCTGAAGCCGTGGCTGCTAGAGCGGCCCTCCCGGAGGGCAGAAAAAGCAGCTTCCCGGAAGGAGGCGCGGCGCGCGAAACGGTCCACGGGCTTCTTCCCGGAAGGGCGAAGACAACGTCCCGGAGGTCGATTTTAGCAGCCGCGGATTTAGCAGCCCGTGCCCGGCTTCCGAGCGAGGGCGGCGTCGCGGAAGGGGATGGTTGGCTAGAGGTCGGTCAGGCCGCGCCCGAGAAGGGTCGGCCACGCGCAGAGGGGGCCAGGGGGAGGGGGGAAGGCTTTTCAGAAGCGCTCCTGCTTTTTTGGAAGGCGCGGTCCTCGTCCGTAGATGTACGGCCGCCGCCCTCCAAGAACTTCCTTCTAAGAAGCCTTGCCCACTCCCCCTGCCGCTGGACGTTCCCTGGCCCCCATAGGGCTGTGCCATGGGGAGCTCCACCCGAGGCTCCAGTGGCAACGCCCGCATGCGGTCCAACCCGCCGTTTCGGCAAGCCCCTCAAACCTTTTCGTGGCCCCATCGGGAGCTCCACCGAGGGCCCCAGCGGCCCCCGTTGCTGGCCCCCCTCCTCCATCTCATGCCCCCCGCAATCCGAACCTGCCCAGAATTACCAGCCTCGAACTTATCCATATTTCTAAGATTGACACGCCAAAAGGCGATGACAATCTTAGGGATTCGCCTTCAAAAAATGAGGGAATCCTTAAGATTGGCATCGTGATGAGGAGATGCCCAGCATAGGGATAGGGATATGTTCCAGGCTGGTAAGAGAAGGCCTTCTCCGTCTCACCTTCCCCCCTCGCTCGCCCCCAGACGTGCGTGCGCGGATCTCGTGGTCTGGGCCACAGGGCCTTCCAGGTGTCACGGCCCCCTCGCCTCCGGCCCCCCTGCGTCCCCGTGCGCGCGCCTCGGGCCGCGCTGCGCCCCCGCCTCCTCTCGTCGTGGGGTCGCCCTCCCCTCCCAGCGCGCCCGTGGTATGCCTGGAGCCCGCTCGTTGGACGCCCGAAACGGGACCAGAAAAGTCGGGCACGATGCCCAACAACAGGTGTTGTCCCACGCCAGCAGCGGCCGCTGTTGTGTAATTAGGCGGCCTTCTGTCTCAAACGGACACGGGCCGCGGCGGCGCGGACAGCGGGCCCTGTCCAGTATGAACAGGAACTGCTGTTGGGCATCGTGCCCATTCTTTCCGTGTCCATTTCGTTCGCGCCGACGCTCCGAGTTCCCGCGGCGCCCGCTGCCTCGGCAGGCTTTCTCGATAGCATCCCTCGAGCAGGCCCCGATGCCTTGGACGCCTGCCCGTCCTCTGCTGGCATCGGCGTCACCCCAACACACTAATACTATGTGTGCGTCGCCCCCGCCAGGGGCGACGCGCGCACCGAGAAATCGTATAGGATATGCGTCGTGGCGGGCGCTTTCTGGCCACACCGCTCGGGAAATGATGCACAGTGTCCGGCTTGAATAAGGAACACTTACTTTTCAAACGGGGCTCGGTCGCTCCTTCGGTTTGCATGCGTTCTGCTACCTTTTTGGCGGCGAGCCCCCCTTGATGTTCCTTCGGACTTCCTAGACTTGCTTGGAAAAAAGGGGCTTCGTTCCTTATCTGTCGCTCCTTGGGTCAGGCCGAATACACCGTACGACACGATGAGCATGCATACAGCTGTTCGGGTCGGACGCACGCCTCCAGGGAGGACATCTCGTGCCAGCATCTTCTGCCGCCGCGCGTCGTTGCGACAGAATCGTTGCATTTCCGGGCGCCGGGCGCCGTTACGACAGAATCGCAGTCTTTCTGTCCGCCGCAGGCTGTCTCTGCCGCGTATCGCCACGGAGTGCACGGATTACTCGTGAGATATTGCGGTCGTCCCCTCCCTCATGCCCCTTTTAAAAAATTGAGATATATATAATAAGAATAATAATAATAATCATCATAATAATAATAATAATAATAATAATAGTAGTAATGATAGTAATGGTAATAATAATACTGATAATAATGATAATAATAATAATAATGATGATAAGAACAAATAATAATAATAAACTCGATGCGCCCCATGGCAGGTTCCGAGAGCAGCTCTCGAGTGGCCTGCGCCGCCCAGGAAGAAGCTCGCCTGCCGCGGCGGGCCGCCCACGGCCACGCTCTCGCGAGCGGCGGGGAGAGCGGCCCCCCCGTGCCGAGCGCGCGCTCCCCGGGGGCCCGGGGGTGGCCGGGGCGGAGGAGGAGGAGGAGGAGGAGGAGGAGGAGGAGGAGGACGACGACGGTCGCCCCAGCCCTGCCCGCCCGCCCTGCTGAGGCGCCCTTGGCATCGCTCGGACGTGTGCATTTTTTTCTCGGCGAGGACCTTCGAGGAGCATCCTCGACCATCTGGCGAAAAGACCACGCACGAAACCGGAGAAACGCACCGGGAATGGACGTCCGAGCGATGGCCAGAGCCCGCCCGCGGCCAGGTCCTGGTGCTCGGCGCCACGAACACGCCGTGGGACCTCGACTCCGCCATCCGGCGGCGGTTCGAGAAGCGAGTCTACATCCCCGGGGAGCAGGAGGGAGGCATCGGCCTCCGCACTCCCCCCCTTCCCCCGTCGCCCCCCTCACGTTTCTGCTGCCACGTATACGGTCCTCTGCCCAGAGGGCTCGCTGGGGGGCCCGCAGGGGCGCCTCGGCCGCCTTGAGAGGCACTCAGGGCCCGAAGATCTGTCTGCAAAGAGATGCGGCGCCTCCGCATTCCTGGAGGCCTCCTGGAAGCGCCAAGCCACGGCGCCCAGGGTTTCCTGTCGCAGCTTGTTCGCGTCGTGACTGAGGAGGGGGAAAAACACGTACAGACATTAGCAGTCGTCGACACCCAGGAAAATATGTGAAGCCACGCGGGAGCGCGAGGGTGAGCATGCGGCGCGAAGGCACGGCGGGCTGGGGGGAGCGCCCGCCATTCTCGGGGGATGATTGCCCCAAATATCCCCCCCCCCTTGTCAGGCGATCGCAAACATGGATTAAGGGGGCGTGGGTCAGCGACGGGCCCCGTTTCCACGGGAAATCGCGGATTTCCGCCGCCGAGCGAGGCGGCACCGGCCGCATTTTGGGGAGGGCGCCTCCCCCGATCCATCCATGGATCGCTAATCCATGTTTGCGCGCCCACGACCAAATAACCCCTTTTGGTATCGCTCGGACGTGCGCATTTTTGTCGGCGAGGCCAGCGCCATAAAGCCCAGACCATCGTGAACCGACCTGGGAACAAATACAGAGAGATAATTTGATCGGGTTGGGAGGCCGGAGCTGGGAGAAATCATCACATCGTCCGCACTATATCGCAATTCTGATGAATGTGTTTGATGGGTTTATTACACAGTCGCGCCCTGTACTTTCACAGCCCCTTCCTCCCAACCCGATCATTGTCTTCCTCACAAGTACACGCACGAACCGAACAAAGCACGGGGAAGGACCGCCCGAGCGACGGCAAGATCCTCAGGGGTGGCTTGCCCAAAATTGGCTCCCGCCCCCGACGGCCGCACCCGCAGGCCCCCCTGGCAGGCGGGGTGCCAGGACGGGGGGGGGGGCAGAAGGAGGAGGAGGAGGAGCCGGAGGAGCCGGAGGAGGAGCCGGAGGAGGAGCTGGAGGAGGAGCCGGAGGAGGAGCCGGAGGAGGAGGAGGAGGAGGAGGAGGAGGAGGAGGAGGAGAAGGCGGAAGGAGGAGGAGGAGGAGAATGAAGAACGAGGGAGGGGAGGAGGAGGTGAACGAGGAGGCGGAAGGAGGGGCGGAGTGAGGCGGAGGCGGAGGCGGAGGAGGAGGAGGTGGCGAATGAGGAGGAGGGGGGGGGCGAGATTTCGGCGGCCTTCGAGGCTAGCGCTCGAGCGTGGACCGTCCCCCAGGAGCACGCCCTGAGTGGCGGTGCCAGTTCGGCAGGCCCGCCTCGGCCCCGTCCTGGTCGGGGGTGGTGGGGTGTCGTTTGGGATCGTGAGGGGGTGTGTGGGTGTCACCTCCTCCTCCTCCTCCTCCTCCTCCTCCTCGTCCTTCTCCTCCTCCTCCTCCTACTCCTCCTCCACCTCCTCCTCCCCTCCTCATGGACCCCCTGTGGCGCCCCCCACTGGAGCCTCTGGGGGGGGGGGGGGGGGGCAGATGCCTTTTTCTGGCTCCCCTATGGTCCCGCTGCCCGACTTGGAGGCGCGCGCGCGCCTGCTGGCGCTGTGCCTTGGCGACACGCGCCACCGCTGCAGCCAGGCCCGCTGGTCGGGTGGGCACCCCCGGGGTGCCTGGAGGGCCCAATGGCGACGATCGAAGAAGAAGAAGAGGAAGAAGAAGAAGAAGAAAAAGAAGAAGAAGAAGAAGTATAAGAATCAACAAGAGTAAGCAGTCGCTTCATGCACACTAGCTTTCGGACGTCCACGCAGATTTCTTGAGTCGGCTCTGAAACCCCCTTCCTGGCTCGCCGAGGGCGCCAGGGGGGGCGCCACCAGGGGGTCCAGCGCAGAGCGCAGATCCAAGAAATCTGGGAGGACCTCCGACAGTTTTTGTTCACGACGTGGGCGAGAACGAGGACGCCGACGAAAACGAACACGGACACGGACACGACGACGACGAGGAGGAGAAGGAGGACAAGGACGACGATGACGAAGACCACGACGACGACGACGACTACTACGACGACGACGATGATAACGAGGATGAGAACGACGACGAGAACGACGACGACGACGGCGACGACGACGGCGACGATGACTGCGACGACAACGACGGCGGCGGCGGCGACGACGACGTCGACGACGACGACGACGGCGGCGGCGGCGACGACAACGACTGCGGCGACGGCGACGATGAAGACGAGAATGACGACGCGGACGACGACGACGGCGACGACGACGAGGACGACGACGAGGACGACGACGACGAAGACGACGACGACGGCGGCGGCGACGACGACGACGACGACGAGAACCTTGTCACAGGCAACGATAGGGGGGGATAGGCATAGGGGGGATGCATCGACCCCCAATCGCCCATTGATCGCCGATAGGGGCCCGATAGCCCCAACCTGCCCAGGAACGTGCGGTCCACTCTCGGGGGCCGATCGCCGATGTATCGGCGATGTATCGCCGATCCCAGGTCGACGCACCCCCCCCTTATGCGCATCCCCCCCAGATCGTTGCCCCGCTACCCCTCACCTTGAGTTCGGAGTTCGACCACGTGTGCCCCCTGTTTGGCGCCGCCGATCACATCCGGCCCTCGCGCAGCAGCCGCCCGAGGCCACCGAGGACCGCCGGAGACAGTCGCGGGCCGGTGTGCACTTGGCATCGCTCGGACAGGTGCACGTCTTCTCGGCGAGGACCCTCGGAGAGCATCCTGGGTACTGTTTTCTTGCAGGCAATAACAACACTGGCAACAACAACAACAACAACAAGAACAACAACAACAACAGCCACAGCAACAGCAACAGCAACAGCAACACCAACAACAACAACAACGTCACCAATCCCGACAACAACAACAACAACAACAACAAAAACAACAACAACAACAACAACAACAACAACAACAACAACAACAACAACAACAACAACAACAACAACAACAATCACTTTACCCGAACGCTCAGTGTTCTCACCAGTGCCAGGGTTTTCATGCGACGCCATCCAATACCCCCACTTTGTGGGGGGGCAGTGCAAGCTCTACCAAATATCCACACGACTCTTCGCCACCACCCACTATAATCCATCAGTGCACGCGCTTCCCACCGTGCCCAATGACGTATTCGGGACACTTCACTTCGTGTGCTGCGGACGACCGTGGCTACCACAACAAGTCCACTGGCGAGGAGTCCACACCCACAGACGAGTTGTTAGGACACGCGCGCGGAATGTTAGAAATTTGAAAAGACGGTGCAGGTGAAGCCTACGCTCGTACGTGCGATTCGTGTGATTTTATGATGCGCGGTGCTAAAATTCTTAAGAAGCCCAATGGTTTTTGGAGATTTCGGCGTGCGCGCGCGAAGAAAAAACGAATGTGACCCGCATGGTATTATTTGACAGGGATGATGGCCCTGGCAGGTGCGCAACCGTTGTCGCAGAAGTTCGAAAAAGTTGCTCGCAAAAGCCCGTTTGACAGAAATGTTTAAACAGTGTTGGGTTTCCTACGAATCCGCAAGAGCGCGCGGGATGAGATTTTGACATTTTTTTGTTGAAAAAACATTGGTTTTTTGATGTTTTTATGTTAAAATCGTTCCGAACACTAAGCTTTTGGAAGGATTTCGTCTTGCGCGCGCGAATGTCCACTTTACCTTATTTTTTGCAAGGGATTCTTGAAATTTGATTATATTAGAACAAGAAATGTCATTTTATAGTGTTTTTTTTTTTGCAAGGGAAAGCGGATTACAACAAAACAACCGGATCTTGATGACATCGTATTACCTGAGGCTTCCTCACGAAAATGATGAAAATGTAGCTGCGGCCTAGGCGGCGCAGGGGGGCCGTGCACCAGGGGGCTCAACAATAATTATTCTTTAGAATTAATAATGTTCAACAACAACAACAACCAACAGTAACAACAGTAACAACAGTAACAACAACAACAACAACAACAACAACAACAGCAACAGCAACAGCAACAGCAACATCAACAGCAGCAGCAACAGCACCAACAACACCACCAACAACAACAATCACACCAGCAGCAGCAACAAAACCAACAGCCACAACAACACCAACAGCAACACGACACCGTAACATGCACGGGGAATGGACGTCCTAGCGAGGGTAAGCCAATGGTTCGATGGTCGTGCGAGTGCCCTGCTCCGAGTTCCTCGATATTCTGTTGTGTACCACACCCTCCCCGCCACAGTCAGATTGCTAAGGCCTTACGTCCGGTGCCGCCGACCCTGTTCGCTAGGACGAGGAGGAGGAGGAGGAGGAGGAGGAGGAGGAGGAGGAGGAGGAGGAGAAGGAGGCCACAATCAGATCCCGCAGCTCGGGGCCACCTTCAGTATACCAGCACCGCGCCCCAGGGCGGGAGTCTTGTACACCAGACCCACGACTGTAGGGCCCTCACCCGCCCCCCCAGGGAGTTTGGGTATAGTACTAAGTCGGGCCATTTCTAAATAGTTTTTGAATACACCGCCTGTAGGGGGACAGGCCCGACCTAAGTATAGTACACATTGTTTTTCGGGCGGACGAGTTCCGTCATGAGCACCGGGGATTCGCCGTCCCTGCCGACGGTCCCAGTTGTCGCGTTCCCCAGACCCCCGACGTCATGATTTTTTCCTGACGTCGACCCCCAGAGGTCTAGACCCCTTCCACAGGACGGGCGTTTCATCCCGAGTCGTTTTGTGAACGCGATCCCGAGGCCCTGGAAGGGCTCCCGGAGGCCGAAAATAGAGAAAGATCGGTGTCCCCACAACATATTTATAGTATTTGTGCGTCGCTCCGCCAGGGGCGACGCGCGCACCAAGAAATCTTCTAGTACATGTGTCGTGGCTGGCGCTTTCTGGCCACACCGCTCGGGAAGCGATATACTACAAGATGGTTATACTATATGTTTGGGTCGGACGCGCGCCTCCAAG